TTATCCCACGTTTCTAGTCAGTAAGCGTAATATAGATTGTAGAAAATACTAGAAGAATCAGAAATGAATCACACATTGCTTAAAATTCATTTGTGCTTTTAATTAAGAGCTTATTTAACTTTAGTAGTTTAATAGAAAATTAGAATTAATTAAGTAGAAATTAATTAAGTACCACTTAATTAAGTAGAAAATACGTATCCTTTATTGTTGCTATTTAGAAAATGTTAATTTATTATGAAATGAAATGAAAGTTCAGTGGAAGAACGGAATGTAGTTAGGAAGGAAGTCCTTTCTATCAGAAATAAATTTTTTCCTAAACTGTGCTATTGTAATGAACAAAACAGAAACACTCTAGCTTGAAACCCAAAACTAGGAAAACTTCCGATTTGCATTGGGGATTGTTTCCAATAAAACTTTCCGGGCATAATATTTCAACAGACTAGGTTTTCTCTTGATATGCACAAAGGTTTTTATATGGAAACCAGTGCCAAGATCAGCCTGAAGTTTGACAAATTTTTAAATATCGGCATGATTGATTAACGTAATTGTTTTGTGTTGACTTCTGAGGAATTAATAAGTTTTCTTTGGATATTGTTACACTTATTTACGAATAGGCGCCGAAACATTTACGCCACATGTAATTTTTTGTAAAAAGGTTAAATTTCAATTCCATATTATAATAACAAAATTATATACTACAGATATTAGACAGAATTCAGTTATGTGTTTAATTACCAATTACATTTTAGAAAAATAAATTAGATTATTTGCTATCATTTGAAACACTATTTAGGACTTTTCTTTAGTTCAACAGTTAACTTAATTTTAACCATTTCAATTAGTTCAAATGCTTCGTTACGTTTTTAGATTTTCGAGTCAAATGTTACAACTTCGTGAGATTGTTATGTCATTTAAGAATCGTTTGCCGTTTTCCCCCTCAAATTGTTCGTTTATCCTTCCTTCTCGTGCTCCGAATCGAATTTTTTTCTAAATTTAGACCTAATTCCGAATGAGTGCCGTTCTCCCATTCCTCCATTTTGGATCGAACGCTCCCGGAATTCCCGTTTCGGGGAATCGGAACATCTGCGTTTCCGTCCATCCGGTCATCCCGCCGGCGGGATGGGAAAAGAGAAAGGGGCAAGGCACTCTTCTTTTCCCCCTTTTCCGACACCGTGCCGCGAGGAAATGGAGAACGTTTTCATCCCGGAGAACGATAACAACCGAGAGGAGCACCTCCCTCTTCCATTTAACCTCGTGCACAGCTGCCCCAAGTATCGTATCAGCACCACGCGGTTTTTGATCTCTCAAGATCCTATTATTTGCCAACCACTTCCCGTGCTCCCACCTACGAGGACTCTGCAGAACAGGAAGATTGCATCCATCATATTCATCCTGTCCTCGGAACACTCTTCATCCATAGTCACGTGTGCGGAAGAAGTTCATGTCCCCCCTTCCACCTAAAACAGACATACGCAAAAGAATCGAACCCGATTTCTTCTGGAAAGGTTACATCAAAGAAACAGAGAACAAGAGTTCACTCACCGCTGTGCTGCACCGGGCGATCCACGCATCCATTTCGTGCCGCACGGCAGGAGCGAGGGATCTGGCGACAGGGGGCGCTGGTGACGGAGCGAAGATTAAGAAGAAAAGCGGAGAGGGAGTCGAAGAAAAGGCAGGGGAAACGGATGGATGGAAGGAGAGCGATGCAGGCGCCACCGTCACTCTTCGAGCCGGGCTGAAAACCCTGGAACAATTTTTTAGCGCCACGATGTGGCAAGGAACGCTGTCGGGTGAACATTCGAGATTCAGATTTTGAGTTTCGAGGAGTGAATGCAAAATGACGAAACGTTCTGTTGCGCAGGAACTGCGTTTCTGGATGGAGTTCCAATTCGGCGCCGGGGCTTAAAGCATTTTGTTTATTTCAAATCAGAAAAAGAGGAAATGCGCGAAGGGGGAAGAAATGCGTTATCTTTCACTTCTATGAGGCCACTGAAATGCATTTCATTCATATATACAGAAAACACTTTTAACACTGAATAAACTCGATCTCTTTTATATAACAGAATAATTCATTTTGAAACTTAGAATTACTTTAAAAAATAACCTTTCGCACCCCAAATTTTTTTTTTTTTTTTTTTTTTTTTTTTCAAACCGAGTCTTAGAATTTGATACTTACTTCTGCAACATAAAATCGAAATTTTATCTCAATAAATGCAGGATTTACTTATATGGCTACCTTGCTCAGACTACATCTTAGCTATCTTTAAAGCTGTATTGTTAAAGCTATGAGTAATCACTATAGCACCTGCAGAAAATTTTTCGGGGAAGACTGATGTTAAAGACAAACACTTACGCCAATTATTATTACTTAATTATTTAATTTATGTATCAGATTATAGAATATAAAACTTCAACAATATAAAAACCCCTTTTTTTATTCGATTATAGAAGGAGGCAAATACACCATTTGCTCCCTCTTTTGGATACCCATAGAACGCCTAGTAAATGAATTAAATACAAACACAGTCAAACTGAAAATCATTTACCTCTACATAAGGTTATGGAAAGATCAGAGAGTGCTTAACAGAAACTTAGTGATCACATTACACTTAACACACTATGATGTGAAAGTAATTTACAATGAACTGTGAGCCCAACGGTTAACAAATAAAATATAGTTATCTTAACCTGATGACATGCTATCAGTTAAGAACAGTTTAATTTCAAACAGAAAAGCAAATAAAAAAAAAGAAAAATATGAAAGGTTTCAGATTTTAAATTATGTCCAAAGGGGCGTTTTTTTAACATTTTGTGTGTTACTTTTATTTATTAAATATCATGTTCCTCGCACTTAAACCATAAAATTCAGTTGAACAACAATATCGCAAAATAATTTTAAATTGAGCATATCTTTAGAATTTCCCGATACACAGTCTCACGCGCTGGAGATAATTTTTTCTGTACAACGTTGGTATCGCTTGCTTTGAAATCCTTGAGTTTTGTTAATCAAAAATTCGTTAAAGTTTTACAAAATATGAAATCGACAATAAAACAAATTCTAAATTTCAAATTTTGGCCTCCATATGCCCATATTCGCAGTAGGGCTACATCATTCAATATTTGATGATTCTAGGGACCGTTGTTTTATCACAATGCGAGAAACATACATACATATATGTAGATTCTTCATTATTAAATTTCTTCAAATGTAATATAGGGCTATATATTTGGTGGGAACGATCTGAAAAGTGATACAGCTTTTTAAAGGTTTCGACGCAAAATGCCAAAACGAAATTGATAGTCCTTCAGGCCAAATTGTCCCTTTGGACTAAAAACAAAAGTTTGCTAAGCAACTCCTTCTGGTTGACAATTGAAAATGCAACGCAATTAAGATAACTTTTTGAACTAAACCTGTTACAAAGATGAGGCTGGTTCCCCCTTAACTAAATTTCAACTGTAGCGGAAACTTAGACTTCAATCATTTAGCCGATGAGACACTTAACCGATAGCAGTTAGTCGACACGGATAGCTAGCCCGACAGGATGTATAGTAGGCATTTCGCTCTTCCGACTGCTGAAAATTTCTATCCCACTTCTGAAATGCAGAGTCCAAGCCCAACAACAGGAGAACAGTAAACCTGCTGAATTCTGGTCTTTCGGCCCTTTATTGGAAAACGGAAAAACGGGTTGGTTGCGCGGACGTTTTCGTGGCTTTCTCCATGTGTAACATGTATATGAGCCAGTTCTCATCGAAAATCCTCCACAAAGGCATTCCTTTCCTTAGGCAGATAGACCTCGAGTGCTTTGCCATAATCAGACAAACCAAACCAAAACAGAATATAAAAAATACGTCTTATTAATTTTGAAATTTAGTTCAAACTCTAAGCCAAAATATTTCTTTTCTGTCTAATTTTAAAATCCAGAGTTTTTCAACATTCAATGAAGTAAAAAATATGGTGCTTAATCATAAACCTTCTCCTTGAGTACCCTTGAAACAGACTTTTTCTCAGAAATAATGACAAATTTTACTAAAATATTATAGTATTTTTTGTCTGTATACACGTGTTGTAAGGTAAGCGAGAGTTCAGCTAAATATCTATATCTTGTTGGCTAAATATTCTGTCGGCTAAATAGCCATGTCAGTTAAATGACCTGTTGATTAAATGATCGTGTCGGCAAAATGTACTGTTGGTTAGTTGTTGTGTCGGCTAACTGTTCGTGTCAGCTAAATGTATGTGTCGGCTCTAAGTGTCTCGTCGACTGAATGGTTGTCAACTAAGTATCACGGACCGAAATTTCAAATGTATACAAAACTAAGATTCAATTTAAAACTAAACACCTGGTCGGTCTATACTACAGCAAAACGCTTAACTTATGTGTCAAAGGCACAGCGGTTGTCTAATATAATTTCTGACTTGCAACCGATTCAGCAGAAGTTAGTTCACAGTGGCGAATATTCTAACAAATCATAGCCTCAGGGTTAAATTCCTACTTTCATACCATACCGCATGCCTTTAAATTTCCTATTGTACGTTCAAATTGTGGCATATGCTAAGAAAGACAGAATAGAGTTTAACTCGGAATTTGACTGTTAGTAAAATATAGGAATTATTACTTATCACAAATTTCACCACGTTAATTAAAATTGATTCAGATACGTTACAAGCAAAGGTTCAGAAATTGCCGTTTATTCAAACTAACCTCGGTAACATAAGTAATGATAAGAAAATTTAACTTCAATTCCGAATAATCTTAAACAAGGGTAATTCTCAGCAGTAATAACAGTACCTCCCAGTTAAATAAATTATACTCTAAGTATAACACAGTAAAAGTTACAGTTAATGCTTGCTTATTTGTAATCAGCTTTAACCTCTCAGGATTAGAATGTGTATCTCCTCTTATAGTGAACTCATCGTTATTGTGCTGGTTATAATATTGAAGCAGTATTATGAAATATATCTCAAATATTTGTTTATTTTACAAAATAATAGGACGTAGAATATGAGCGTAACGTCTTTCTCTGATTACAAAGATTTCAGACGAAACAACCATGGGAGATAGAGCTATTAAATTTTTATCATTATGTAGTCCTACTATTACAATCCGGTGGTAGGGGAGAGGGTTGGAAGACAGTCGAACCACCGGTCCCTGGGGTGCTGTTTCTCAAAGCTGGGGTAGAAGTCCAACCTCCTTGGGGCTCTGGCAACTATTCTTCCATAACCTACATGGACAAGACAACTACAATTGTTATAATCTTTACCATGCAGTAGATATGCAACAGTAGTAATAAACAAAGAATGGTTAGTAAAAAGATATATCGATGAAAGAAAAAACTAAATATATTTCGTAGTATCATGAAACTACTTCTCCCTTTAAAGGCGGCTTAGAAGTTAGTACTGTTTTAAAGAAACTTATAACTTTAGTTATGTTACAAGAAGTGGCAGTCCTAGTGCGAATGATAAAATTCTTGAGTGTTTTCATAAATCAAAGAGATGTCATGGATCGACCCTTTGCCATATCAGTTCCCTAATATCACTTATTTAAACGTAAGAATAACGGATGCTGTGTCAGGTGTTACAAACCAAATATTCAAAAAACACGTGCCGTGAGCTGAAATAAAGACTTGACATTCTTAAGGTAAAGAGGTGTAATGCATTGCAATTTATTGAGTTAATATTGCTCATAAAAAAAACTCAGTTATCGAATTTACCATTTCCAAAAGAAAGTCATTTTTGTTTAATTATGTTTCGCGCAGTGAATTTTTGTAATTAGGGAAAGACTCTACGCTTACACTGTATGATGCCGTATGTTATGTTATTGCCATTTCTTTCTTCAGCCTTTTATTTTTTTAACAGAACATTATCTGAGAAAAAATGTGTTATGACAAAATTTAAAGTTTAACAAGCTGTTTCACAAAAAAGGTAATTTGTGTCATAATAACAGTAATAGTCAGATGGTGATAAAGGTTATTTTTCTACCTGTGAAGCACATGGAAATAAAGCATATATTTTTCCCCAGGGGCGGGCACAACGGCATTGGCCGCTACTAAGGTCAGAAGTGGTGCCATTTTATTATGGAGGCACCTAACAGCCAGCCAATATTGCTTCCTATGAAGCGACAGACAGTTTTACATCCATGCCTTCTCCGGGATTCGAACTCAAGCCCTTTGGTATCGCAGTCAGGCTCCGCTAACCACTATACCGTGTGGGCGGCATAAAGCATATATTATACCTTGAAAGAATATAATCTTAATCATATATTATTAAAACTAAACTCAGTGGTGTAACAGCCCTAATGGGCCAAGGCCTGCAGTACCCGAAATCTGCTCTCTTGACAGTGGGCTCCAGGATGCGTAAGCAATATATTATTATTACTAATTTTTCAAATTAGTAATGTCAGTTTCTGTAAATATTTAAATTCCTTTAATTACATCGTTACTTTTATGTATTATTGTAATATCATGTATTGCTTTAGTTAGTTATTTGTTTATTTTTTCAGACTGATAATTTTAGCGTTTTATTTGAGAGTACTTGAATTTGTGGCGACATATTTTGGGCATAAGTGCTTTTTCTTCTGTAGAATTGTGCATGCTGTGATTCTCAATCTATTAACGTTTAAACTGCGAAAAATAGCAAAATTAGAATGAAAGATACGAACAAAGAAAACCCTCCTGACAGACTTTGGCGAAGACTTTTGTCACCAAGTCGGTAGACATCGATTCAACCAGCTCTAACTGGACTGCCCTGTAAACAGTGCAGGTGAATAAATAGAACCAAGATTTCGTGTTGCCTTTCAATGTCACTGGTCCAGAGAAGTCAATTCCAGAGATTTCGAAGACAGCTGCTTCTCGTAGTCTGTCTTCTGAAGGAGGCGCAATATAAGTTTCTGGGTTTTTTTTTCAGCAACTCTTCTACCCAGACTGCATTGATTAATGAGAGATCTCACAGTTTTATGAGTATTCAGAATCCAAAACCTCTTTCGTAGAACATTTATTAAAATTTGAATACCAGTGTGTACATTTTTCTCGTAATAATATCGCACTAATCTCTTCACAACCTCATAATTGAATGGAAGAATATCTAGAATTTTAAATTCTTCCTTATCCTCGCGAAAGGTAAGTTTAGTTTTCAGTCTAAATATTCCACTTTCATCCTTGAATACTCCTATGGTTTTTAATTTCTCATTCTTTACATTCACAAAACAGTCTTCTTGAGCCATTTTGATTAACTATCTTTTTGTACTTGGGAAAATATCTGTAGTACCAATTTTTCTTGGTAACCAAGCATGCAGAAACTAAACATTTTGTTATAGATGAAACTATGCTCTTTTTTTCCTCTAACAATCTCACTCTCATCTAAATTTAATTAACCTTTCGGCCAATCTTCTTCAGGCAAATAAAGCTAACTTGGACCTAGCCACCAGTTAGATTTCAATAAATTTTGAACTAAACAAGCTTTTTTCGAGAAAACAGCAGGATTCATGCATTCAGAAATATGTCTCCAAAAAGTTGATTTGTTAGTCTTCTTACTTCTTTCACTCTATTCTGGACAAAGACATTCCAGGCTTCTCTCGTTATCCATGCTAAAATAGTAAAAGAATCAGTCCAGAAATTCTTCACCCTATAGCTCAGATAAAATTGAGGACGAAAGTCGTGATGCTATAGTAGCTGCAAGTGATTCCAATCTCGCGATGGTAGTTTCTTCTTTTCCAGTTGGTCCAACTCTACTCCTGGCTTGAATCAGTTGTACTTTAAAAGATTTTATTTGTATGAAAGCCGCCATGGCATAAACATGCTTACTGGCAACATAAAAAATACAAACTGAAGTATTTTCACTTGTATTCCTTGAACCAAACTACCTGGGGAAACGGTTCTTTTCTAGATAATATCTCTCAGCCATTTTAAAAATGCAGTTCTCGTTACGTATATCAACATCTTCATCGCATGTTATCTTCTGCTTCCACGTTTCTTGAAGCAATAATTTAGGAATAAGGATGACAGGACAACATATACCGAGAGCATGAAACACTCTATGAGCTGTAGATAAGATTTACCTCTTAGTTTACATTTTCAAAACATAACTCTTTTATACTACCAGTATTTATTCGTAGAGTGTCAGATTGTATATTCCATGTTATACCGAGTACACTCATATCAGCAGAAGCATTAATGTCATTGAATTCCCACCGTCTGATGTTCTCTCAGCCATTACTACAGATGATGCATTCATAAACAGATAGAGTTCTTTTTCATTTTTGACACAATTGACACAGTTGTCAACATAGAAACTATGCACAAGTTTTTGAATAATACTTTTTGCATACGAAGGATTCACCAGTTTCTATTTTCTCGAAAACAGTTTGTAAGTGAAGCTTAATAGTAGAGTTTAGAAGAAAAGGTCTGCTTGCTACACGGCAGGACTTGTACTCTTTCAGCTGACCATCACTATTAAGACATAAGAACTTCAAAAAATGTATATCAATGGATGAAACACTTATTTGTAGTAATTTTCTTCGTATATCAGCAATAATATCTATCTCTTCTTTTCGAAATCGTGATAAAGTACTCGGAATCTGCTATAATAGATTTGGACCTTTTTCTAAGCAGTCATTAAGAGTAAGAAACCCCTTTACTTTGGCAGAAGCATCGAACACCGGTCGGAGTTTTGTAGTACTATTCTCTTTGATAACTGCCCGATGGGGGAAGATAAAGAACTTGACATTGATCGTTTTTAGCAACCTTTTCAATTACTCCTTCTTCTAGCTATTCCTTAAAAAGATTTTCATAACCTTCATTAATTGGACTCGCTTTTAAGCCGTTTAACAGTATTTTTCAGTCTCCTCTCGACTAAATCAAAATAATCTGGCAGTGGTGGATGATCTTTCAACCAGGGCATATCAACCTCAAGACACTGAGACACTGTTTTGACACTTGAGATGAACTTAGAAGGTCTGTAGCACTATGTACATTTGAAAACTTTCCCCTCTTAAATTTCGTATCTATCACGTTTTCCTCATTGTAAAAATTATTATATTTTACTTCCGCTTTTGTCTTTGAAGTGTTAAAACTTCGACAGGCTAGAAAAATGCGTTCTTTTAGCTTCAAATTCGTCTTGGAAAAATTATAAAATACATTCTAAATCACTTTTCTCAATTATAGTTTTGCTTTGATTTGAATCATCTGAACTCACTGCTCGAACTCTATGATGAGCAGATCTATAGCGCTCCCAAGCAACGAACGTTTCTTCATGAAACCCTGATTCAACTAGAGGAAATAACATGGCAGAGTATTTTCCCCTTAACTGTTCAAGTGAACGGAGTTTACTTTCAAGTTGATCAAACAATTTTCTTAATGAATTTTTCGGTCAGTTCTCTTTTTGAAGAACTAATGCTAATAAATCTCTGACGTATACTTGAATCAATAATTCTTCTCTACAAAAACGCACTTTTAGCTGTTTTAAAGCTTTTCGATAACTATTACCGCCTGGGGGTAGGAGATTTTAATTAATTCTTTGGAAGGACTGCCTTTTTCCATTGCTTGAGATAAATACGAAAATTTATAGTGAAAATCAATAACAACATTCTCATCAATTTTTTTAAACTGCCCCCAAAATTAGAGCGAATTCCTTACATCACCGTCAAAAGTATGTAATTTTATTTTTTATAATGCAATAAAGTGTTCGGTTGCGAAGTAATATTCAAACTTTCATTCTTAGAAGATAATTGCTTAGCCACTAGTGTTTCTAGATTCTGTTTTAAAGATCTTCAGCGATCAGTATCTGACTCATCTACCATTTTCTCTATTTCGGTATCGGAAGTATTTTTAAAATACAAAAATTGCTTATATTTCTCTTCACTTTCTATCATTAATAAAGCTTTCTCTTCCATTAGCTTTAATTTATTAATTTTCTCAACATAATTCAGTTTAATTTCTTCCTCATCAAAAGAATTACATGCTCGAGTAAACAACGTTCTAAGTTGTTTTCTATCTTTCAGTACAGTTTCCATAATGAATAAAGAATAAAACAAAATATAAAAATATTTTCCTAATCGTAAAAAGCAGCCGTGTCCTGTCCTCGGACCCCAGATGCTCCGTTTTGCCTTCAAACATCAGAAGAATTAGTAATGGAAATGACAGTAAAACTATTATTCAATTAAACATCTCGTGACAGCCCAAACAGTTTATTTTACAAATCTAATCAGTGACAACTCTAGCTTCGACAT